GTCCACTTTCATTTACCTCTTTTTTTTTCTGCCTTTCTCCTTCAACATACCAAAAGGATTTAAATTCTTACTTTTTTTTTTTTTTTACTCTCTATCCTGCTAAATTTGTCTCTTTTTCATTCACTATTAATTTAATGAAATAGTACCAATTCTGGTGTAACTAGTGTTCAATTCTTTGTGCACAAGGAATTCTCAGCTGAGATGCTGACATCTTAGTCCAGATGACTCTTTGCTGTGGGTAGTACCCTGCCCACTGTTTGGTGCTTAGCACCTCTTACTAGATATCAGTAGCTCTTCCCCAGTTGTGACAACCAAAACCATCACCCAATTTTGTCATATAATACCTAAGTGTCAAAACCACTTTCATCAAGCTATATTCTAAAATCAAGATAATGTATGAAACTGGTCATGTTTACAGATCTCTATATTGTCGAACCAACAGGCATTTCATGAATCCTACATCACACCTTGATTGTTCAAATTCCTTTTGACTTTACTGCCTGTAGAGTTGAGCTCCCACCCCGCAAACACAGTCATCTCCTTCTGGAATTTCTTTTCATTCCTCAGCTCTTTAAATAACAGACATTCCAACATTCCAGGTGTCTGTTTCCTCTAACTTCTATGCTGATCAACCTCACCAAAATTATTGCTTCAACGGTCAGATACAGATGCTAATGAACCCAAAGCTCCATCATTAGCTCAGCAATCTCCTGAATTTCAGACCTATACACCCATCGACCAAATGGAATCAACCCTTTCGGTAAACGTTAGACACTTCCAAACACTACTGGACCAGAACAGACAAGTCCTGCCTCTAACTTAAAGTCCTCAACCCAAGAAGCTGAGTTTTCTAAACATATTTTTCTTGCATGGAATGAGCATTCAATCATGTAACCATCACCGTAAACCCAGAAGAATCAGAGACTTCTTTATTCCTATATACCATTGGCCACCATCTTTCTTCTCTTTCTTATTTATTTATTTTTTTAGGTTGCAGATCCTATTTATATCATTATTCATAAAAATACAAACTTTTGTCAGAGAATTCACCTTTTGTAAAATAGTGTGAATTACGCAATTAAAACACTCTACTTTAAGGCTGCAGACTTGGATTTTTGTATGATTACTCAATTAAGTAATTTTTTTTTCCCAGCCTGGTCACTGTTTCCCCTTCCTCTGTTCTCTCCTTCTAGTCCATCCCCCTACCCCATCCACTCCCTCTCCCTTCCCTTCAGAAAAGTGCAGGCCTCACATGTATGTGAGTCAGCCACAGCATATCAAGTTGCAGCAATACTAGGCACCTCCTCTCCTATTAAGGCTGAACTAGGCAACCCAGTAGGAGGAAAGGGTCCCAAGAGCAGGCAACAGAGTCCGAGACAGCCCCTGCTCCCTCTGCCAGGAGTCCTACAGGAAGACCGAGCCACACAACTGCAACACGTGTGCAAAGGGCCCAGGTCAGTCCCATGCAAGTTCTCTGGTTGGCGGTTCAGTCTCTGTGAGGCCCCGTGAGCCTCCATGAGCCCAGGTCAGTTGACTCTGTGTTTTCGCATGGTGTCCTTGGTCCCTCTGGCTCCCATAATCCTTCCTCCCCCAGTTGCACAGTGTTTCCTGAGGTCTGCCTATGTTTGGCTGTGCGTCTCTGCGTCTGTTTCCATCAGTTGCTGGGTGAAGTCTCTCTGATGACAATTGGGCTAGGCAATGATCTCAGGTCTCTAGATCTGGCCTGGCCTCCAGTCCAAGACCTGGCGGTGTGGGCAGGGATAGAGTCAAGAGGGGATTCTCATTCTCACGTCTACCATCCTCATCCTTAGCACTACTCGTGCCCTCTTCCCAGTCCACCCTCTGCTCTGCACGTGGAATGTTCTCTCTAGTACTCAATCCTGATTAGCAGTGCTCAGATTATACTTTTTATTAATTTTCCTTAATGCCTTTTCATCATTTTAAGTAAAAACTATTTTAAACACATTAGTACAAAAAAAAAAAGTTCAAATGTCCTCAACCCACTTCTCTCCGTTCTTCCCCCTCACCTTTCGGTTACTCCCCAGTAAGTCAGAAGATCCTGGGAGGAAGCTGGCTTGGTGCTGTTCCAGGAACAGAATTCTCTGTCTTAGTGCACGTGACTCTCTCTGCCCAGAGCTCTCTATTTGCTTCATTTAGCCATCCTTTCTCATGTTGTCAAACTTGGTTTAAACCTTACTTCCTCCAGGTTTCTCTGTCATATTCTCTCTTCTTGTTTTCACAGCATGTAGCGCTCTCTAAGCACTTCCACATTAAGTATCAATCATGGACTTCCTTCCTGGATCCCATGAAAATGCTGCAAGTAGGGGAGTGGTGATGTATTTAGTACCTGCAGTACCTGGCAAGTGCTGGGTCCATGTCCATTAAACAAACGTCAGAGATACTAGAAGTTTAGACATGTGAGAAAGATGCAGAGGGGAAGGGTGGGTTGGAAATGTGTCAGAGGCAGAACTGGAAGGATCTGTCACTCACTCAATTAGAGGTAGGAAGTAAGGAAGACAGATAGCAGCCAAAAATGAACTTCAGGTTTCTATTTGGTGCTCTTGACAGACAGGAGAGCATGAGATAGTTGGAGAGCAGATACAATAAATATGTATATTCACTCATTTGGGATATGATGTCTATGAGATGCCTGTGTCCAAAAAATATAATTGTGAGACAAATTTTACCTTTTGAGTTACAGGAAGTGATAGTAAAGAGGGGGTTTTTTTGTTTGTTTTTTAAAGCAGGTGAATAAAATTTAATAGTGTATTTTCTTTTCTTTCTTTTTCTTTTTTTCATTTTTCCCCAAGACAGGGCCTCTCAGTGTAGTAGAACTCACTCCATAGACCAGGCTGGCCTCAAAATCAGAGATCTGCCTCCCTGTGCCTCCAAGTCCTGGAATTAAAGATGTGCACCACCACCTCCTGGCTAATAGTGTATTTTCTTTAACTCAGTATCTTAAGGTTTCTTTTGTTGTGAAGAGGCACCAAGACCACAACAACTCTTATAAAGGAAAAACATTGGGTGGTTTACATTTTCAGAGGTTTAGTCCATTATCATCATGGTGTGACATGGTAGTGTTCAAGTAGACATGATGCTAGAGAAGTAGCTGAAAGTTCCATAACTTTGACTTGAAGGCAACAGGAAGTGGTCTGTCTTACTAGGCGTGGCTTGAGCATATATGAGACCTCAAAGCAGGCCTCCACAGAGACACACTTTGTCCAAAAAGATCACACCTGCTCCAACAAGGCCACACCTCCCATTAGTGCCACTCCCTTTCAAACCACCACACCCAGAGTTTCTCCGTGATAACACATTAGGCCCAGGCTGGGGATGTGGTTCAGTGGCAGCATGCATGAGGCCCTCTGTTTGATCCCAAGCATCACAAAAAGAAAACAAGCAAACAAATGAAGCAACAGTTTTGGTACAGAGAATTGTTGAAGGCTGTCCTGTGCAGATGGGTAGTATTGGCTGTCCCCTCCTTTCTGTTTAATAGATGACCACCCCCTTTGTGTTAGGACGCAAAGTATCTCCAGATGTTATTGGCAAGTGGGAGGGAATCATCCCATCTGTATCTTGGCATGTGTGTATTTCTGTGATGTATACCCAGAATTCCCTGGCTATTTAATAGTGTGTTGGACTTGATTTCAGAATCAATTCACCTGAGTATTGAGCAGTTCTGATTTTTATTCAGTATCATGTATGATTTGGGAATCATTTGTTGTGAAAAATACCACAGACCATCTCGGTATTCATTAATTTAGCCCAACGAAGTAAAAACTTTAACATACACTCACTAGTAAAAAGTATTGGGCTTTTCACATTTTTGAACTGTAGTACTGAATGTTGATGTAGCTAATACAAACTCAAAGTGCTTTATTTTAAGTGTTCAAGAGCTGTGGCAAGTGTCTCTATCCTATTAAAGAATACAGGTCAAATACAGCTTTAGGAAATAAAAAAAGGAGGGGGACAGAAATAGAGGTTTGACACATCATGAGTCAACAAGTCATGGGCTCAGTCATCCAGGTGGTACTCTACTTTTAGAGAGAAGCAATTAGGGGGACTGAGGAAATCCAGATCCAATGCTCTTTCATTTCCCCTCGTTTGTAATTTAAAAACATCTTCTTCACTGAATATGGAAAACACGAGTGAATAAAATTATTGGTGAGCCAGTGTATAAAGAGGGAATTAATGCTGAACACTTAATTGGTAATATATGGAACTTTATATAAATCGTCATATTTGACCTCACAAGATCGTTTTTAAAGCATATAATGTTATCTTGGTTTATGAAAAAAGAAACCGAGTTTTTTTTTTTCTTGGTATTTTTTGAGATAGGGTTTCTCTGTGTAGTTTTGGTGCCTGTCCTGGATCTCGCTCTGTAGATCAGGCTGGCCTCAAACTCACAGAGATCCGCCTGGCTCTGCCTCCCGAGTGCTGGGACTAAAGGCGTGCGCCACCACCGCCTGGCAGAAACTGAGGTTTATAAAGGTGTTAATAAATCAGCTTTCTGACAGGACGTCTGTCTGCTTGACTGCAGACCCACACTGTCTTTACATCTTGTCCTCCTAGGGCACACAATGAATCATTGCAATCTTCTTGTTTTGTGAGGTCATTAAGAAGGCTTCTGAGATTATATAGCCAGAGCTCCCAGGCTATCTAAATACCACGCTTGAACTGATTCTGGAAACAATTCCCTTGAACAGCGAGATGTGATCTCTGGTTTGGGTATCATTTGCTGGGAAAGACCCCCACGTTTTTGCTTTAAGAGCACTGCAAGTGCAGTCAGTAAGCTGTAGTTGTAATTTTTAGTAGAGAAAAAGTAAGCGGGATGTAGGCAGAATTGAGTCCGAAATCACCGAAGGAAATGAACCCAACGAGCTTATTTTTAACGTCGCTCAACAGGGCCAACAGTCCGTGAAAGCCAGCGCGAAGGGGAAAAGGCTGGGACGCAGGGGGGCGGACCCGGTAGCCGCAGGTCCGCGCAGGCGCAGACATACCGACGTGAGAGGGCGTGAAGGTCCGGCGCGCTTGCTTTCCGAACTGTCGTAAAAGGCCCCCGGTGTCGCGCTCGCGCAGTCGGGGAGGGCCGGGCCAGGCTGCGGCGGCGGCGATGGTGGCGGGGTGCCGGGACTGCGCGGCGTAGACACGCCGGCCGTTCAGGGTCGCAAGCGCGCGTGGGCCGCGATCGGGCGTTCGGAGCCGGGTTGGGTCGAGCCGGGCTCAGTCGCACGCTCGGCCGCGGCGTTGACAGACGCCCTCCTAAGGAGAGCCACCCGGCCCGCCTCAGCCTCGCCTCGCCTGGTCGGGTGCTATTTGCCGGCCCGCGCCAGCGAGCCCCGGACCTGGCCGCTCGGGGGCTGCGGACTCGGGTGAGGGCGCCGGCGGAAGGGGGGTGCGGGGGAGGGGAGCGGCGCGGCGGCGCTTGCGCGCTGCGGGGGAGGGGCCGAGCTGTAGGGAGAAAGAGGAAGGGCCGCGGCCGGCGGCCGGGGTCGGCGGCAGGGGGATGACCGCGGGTCCCGGGCGGCGCGGAGCGGCTCATTGTGTCCGGGCGAGAGGAGTCTGTCCGCCGACACACCCACAGCCTCCCGCGAGGGAGTGGGTGAGGGGATCGCGCCCTGTCGCCGCTGCTCGCCGGCAGGACGGGGGCTGAAGGCCGAGGCGTGGGGGTGACAATGGAGTGAAGAAGGTAACCCGGGCCGAAGCCGGGAGCCGCCCGGTGCGGGCGAGCACGCGCAGTCCGTGGCCGAGCAGGAGACAGGCGCGTCTGATAGTGTGTGGAGTTGGCTGGTTAGTCATTAAAAAAAGATGTTTTCTTTATCCTGCCTAGATAATTGATCGGAGTCAGCAGTGGTGCGGTGGATGCATCGGGTTTTGTACTGAGAAATAGAGGTTTGTCACCACACTTCCTAGATTATAGGGCTTTATAGATAATGTCTTAAAGCAAATTTGAGTTTTAGCATCAAAAAACAAAACAACAACAACAAAAAACCTAAAACCAAAAACAAACCCCCCAAAACCCAGGAAGTTATAGTGCCTTCATTTAATTTGCTCTTGTCTGTAGTGTGAGGTGACTCCATTGTATTGTTGAGAGCTTTCCTGTTCCTTGATTTATGTACAGAGTGAGTTTAGAACTCCTGAGTAGTGTCGAGCCCGCTGACAGAGACTTCATTGTAAGAGTTCTGATAGCTCTTGAACCAAACTTCGTTCCATTTGGCAGTTTAATCTAATTTTCTTGTTTTTGGTACCTCTTTAATCAAAAAGAACAGAATGGGGAAAAAATGAACCGAAGTTCCATCTCCTTGCCTGTTTATGTTTGGAAAAGCTATCATGTGATTTTGAGTTTATGTAGACGTTCTTCCCGTAATTCTGATTTTACTTAGCTTTATTAGGATAGGGATGTACATTTAAAAAAAATGATTCGTGTGGGTGTATGTCAGTGTGTGGGTCTGCATGTGAGTGCAGGTGTCTGTGGAGGCCAGAATGATCTAGTATTCTGGAGCTAGAGTTAAGGGAGGTTTTGCACTGCCCTGTGTAGGTGCTGGGACCCCCAAGTTGGGTCCTCTGCAAGAATAGTAAGTGCTCTTGACTCCAAACCGTTTCTATCTATCAGCTCCAGATCTATAATTTGATAGTTTGTTACTATGCGGTTTTGTTTTTGCTTTTTCTTTTAGTAAAAATGTTTATGTAGAAACTAGTAACTGTAGTATTTTGTTACATTGTGACACAGGTCATAAGGAAGCTCTTCTACTCTAAAGAGAAACAAATTATTTAGCTTTACTTTTGTAACGAGTGCTTGGCGTGATGGCCCAAGCAAGCCGTGGGGGGAGGGGGGAGAAGGGGTATCTGTGAGTTCAAGGCTAGCCTGGTGTACATAGTGAGTTCTAGGACAGCCCCAGCTATGTAGAAAGACCCTGTCTTAAACACCTACCCCTAACATATGTATTACTTTTGCTACTCTTAAGAGTTTAACAAACATGGACAAAATAGTTCATTGTGTTCTGCTTGCTTGTCACCTAAGATTCTCAGTAGTATTTGAAAAAATTAGTGAGGATATTTGTGAATTGGGGAATATTAGCAAGAAGAGTCTTTTGTTGGTAGTCAGGGCTGGGCGTCATATGTGTGTGGTTTCTTTTGTCTTCTCTCCCCATTGGTCTCTGTCTGTTGGTCACTTGTATCTCAGATGTTTCACTAGAACTAGTTGGCCTTCAGCTCCTAGACTCAGGGACCTTCCTGCTTCGGCCTCTGGAGGAGCTGGGACTGCAGGTTTCTACCACTGGACTTTGGTCTAGAGTTTGTGTTTCACGAAAGCTATAATAAAAATAATTTTTTTTTTGGTTTTTGGAGACGGGGTTTCTCTGTGTAGTTTTGGTGCCTGTCCTGGATCTTGCTCTGTAGACCAGGCTGGCCTCGAACTCACGGAGATCTGCCTGGCTCTGCCTTCCCAGTGTGCCACCACTGCTTGGCTAAAAGTAATTTCTTTTAATGAGGAATGTATGCTAGCTGAGATTATGTTCAGCAAGTTTTGCTTTGGAGCTCCATGTTTGTGAGAAATTGAGACACACGTCTACTGGTTTTCCAAGAGAACAGCAGTTTACTTGCATGAAGCAAAGGAACAGTTAGTTATTCAGCAGGTACACCTGTATATGTATTTTTTTTTCTTAAGTTGAAAATATGGAATAAAAACACATTGCATCAAAACATTTAGAGCATTGTTTGTTTTATATATGCCGTGGTAAGGAAGGGCTTTGGTATTATGCTTTAGTGATGGCTTAGTTGTATGTGCCTCTGCTTTGACCCTGACCTGGTGGGCTGGGACTTTAATAGGGGGAAATATGACTGACAGTACAAAAAAAAATAGTAATTAAGATTTGTTAGAACTTGACATTAACATTCTGGGAGTGACAGTATCTTTAAAAAAAAAATCCAGGTCTAGAGATAGTAGATACGGGTTTTAGGTGTAGCATGGTTGTGGTACATTGGATCTGTGAGTGTATTGTTAACCTTTCCTGGGCTTACAGCTTCCTGAGTTAGTAAAATGAGTCTAAGAGTGATAAATGTTCATTTCTGGCCTTTGGTTTGTGTGTGTGTGTGCCACATTTAATAGCTTCTATTTTTAGTTCTTTTGGTATACACTGTTGAATTCCACAGATATTCAGAAAGAAATGCTCTATGGAGAGTATAATGCTGTCATGTTGCATGCATGCAAATGAAACACATACATATGTATTAACCTATGATGAAGCCATATTTGTTCCAGATAGTAGGTAGTGCTGTTCATTGGAGAAATTACTCAAGTGTTTTGTTGTTTGTTTTGTGTTTTCCTAAGATTGGGGCATTCTATAACCTGGTTCTCATATATCCTTGAGTTATGGCGAACTCCTGCTTCAGTCTCCAAAGTGATGGAGATTACAAGTATGAGCTGCTGTGTCCAGCTATACCAATTTTTTACAATTTTCAGGAAGTTCTAATAATGAATGCTCCCTCTTTTTTTTTTTGGAGACCAGGCTCTCAGGTATCTCAGGCTGACCTTGAACTCACTGTAAAGCCAAAGAGTCTCTCTGTCTTTTTGTTTTTTCAAGACAGGGTTTCTCTGTGTAGCCCTAGCTGTCCTGGAACTCACCCTGTAGACCAGGCTATCCTTGAACTGGTAGATCTGCCTGCCTCTTCTTCCTTAATGCTGGGATAAAAGATGTGCACCTCCATTGCCCAGCTATTCACTTAATTTCTAATTCTTTTGCTTTTACCTTCCAGGTTTTGAGTATTGTGAGCTACTACATTGTTTATAAAAATGGGACTTTTAATTACTTCTGATAACATCTTTTTCTTTTTTCTTTTTGGTTATTTTTGTTTTTTGAGACAGGTTCTTACTATGTAGCCTTGGCTAGCCTGGAACTTGCTAGGGTAGACCAGACTTTGAACTCAATAGAGATCCACCTGCCTCTGCCTGGAGTGTGCTTGAAGGCATATGCCTTCACACCTGGCTTAATGTCATTTTAAAAACAGTCCTGAGAACCTGGCATGGTGGTGCATGCCTTTAATCCCAGCACTCAGGAGGCATAGGCAGGTGAGTTTGAGGCCAATGTGGTCTTCATAGTGGATTCTAGGACAGGTGGGATTATCTAGAGAGATCTTCTCTTTAAAAAGGGGCGGGGGAGGGGAGACAAAACAAAACAAAACAGACAAGCTGGGTGGTGGCGCATGCTTTTAATAAAAACAAACAAAAGTCCCAGGTAACTTATTTTTCTTTCAGAAATGTGTGATTATTGTTCAGCAAAGTTCAGAATTATATTTGACTGTCTTGTACTTTATTCTCTCTCTTTCTTGTATCTCCCAGGTTGCTGCCCAGGTTTCTGCAGGTACTCAGAAATTGCCATCAGATGAAAAACAAGTTACAAATGATAGGAACACTTAGCAGAACTGGTATTTTACACAGAGGCTGTACATTACGATTTTCTCAACAAGTGTGTACTGACTGTCCCGTGCTGTCACTGACCGGTCTGCAAGGATGAAGGCACTGCCTTCGTGAAGTAAGACATTCTGTTGAGTGGCACTTATAACTAGGATAGGTAGTGGTGAGTGCCTTGAAGAAAATAAGACCATTTGGAGACTATGAATGGCATTGGGGTTCTTGTATGAGTCAAAAGGTGGCGAAACCACTTTTTAGAGAAAATCTCAGATGAGATAAAGATATTATGTTTACTTATGTAGGTACATGTCTATAGATTTTAGAGGTAGAGACTGAAGAATAAGTGAGAAAAGGGATGGAGATTTAGCTTGGGGTCGAGTGTTTGCCAAAACTTTTCAAGGCCCTGAGTTGCACTGAGAAAAAGGGGGCTGACATGGGTAGTTCAGTAGTAGAATTCTCATCTGTCTTGTATCTGTACATGTGTATGCATGTTCATGTGTATATGGAGACCAGAGGACAACCTTGAGTGTTGGTCCTCAGATACTGTATTGTAGATGTAATTATAAATGGTTTTATTAAATAAGAGACACAGAGCCAAATGCAGAGTTAAAAGCCCAGAGATCAGAGAGCAGTAGCCAAAAGCTGAGACCACCTTCTTACCACCGGCTGCCGCTGCTGTCGTTCCCCTGAGAAAGAGACCTACT